CCCAGCCGCTGCTGCACCCCATCGCCTCGGAGCAGTTGGGTGTACATACACCCCAACGAGATGCAGCCGCAACAGCTTCCAGTATGATACCCCATACACCGCAGACCCAGTTAAGGGGTATTCATCAGCTCGATATGACGCACAATACATTCACAGACGGCCCCCTTTTATCTATGCAGCAGCAGCAGCAGCAGCAACAGCAGCAGCAGCAGCAGCATATGATGCTGCTGCAGCAGCACCACCAGCAACAGCAGCAGCAGGAAAGGGATCAACCAAGCCAGCCGCAACAACAGCAGCTGCAGCAATTCCTGGTGGATCCGCTGCAGCAACAGCAGCAACAGCAACAGCAGCAGCAGCAACAGCAGCAGCAGCAGCAGCAGGTGAACTGTGTGTTCCCTGCTGACTCCTCTGGTTGTATAACGGCTCCTGCGGCTATCTCTGCGTGTTTTTCTTCTTCTATTTCATCACAGGGTGAATTGATTTATCCTAAAGCAACAAATTCTTCTCTGCAACAAAAAGAAGAAGAGGAAGGGTCTTCAGCAGCAGCACCTCAGGTGTATGTACAGCTCAACCCGCAGCCTCCTTCACCCCCTCAACAACAGTCCCCGCAGCAGGCCGTCCACCAGTACCCGCAGCAGCAGCAACAGCAGCAACAGCAGGAGCAGCAGCAGCAATCATGGCTGTCGCCTGTGCAGCAACAGCAGCAGCAGTTGCAGCAGCAGCACCAGCAGCAGCAGCAGCAGCAGCAGCAGCAGTTGCTGCTGCAGCATGTACCTGTACGGTATGATTCTGAGTTAGAGATGTGGGTGGTTGTTGTTCCTCTGGTTGGTTCTCGGCATTTGTTGTTTTCTTCGAAATATTGCGTGAGAAAGAGAGGCTTTGAGGAGGCAAAGAGAAGGGCTCTAGCAGCATACAGACGTTTCCTGCAGCATCATTCACCTGCTGCTGCTGCTGCTGCTGCCGCTGCTGCTGCTGCTGCTGCTGCTGCTGCTGCTGCTGGAGTCAAAAGGACAGAAGCAGCTTTCGTTAAACAACCAGAACCAACTAATGAACCCTCTATCTTCTTCTCATCAGCCAAAGAGGTGTTTAATTCTTGCTGCTGCTGTTGCTGCTGCTGCTGCTGCTGCTGCTGTTGCTCATGTTACTGCAGATTGCTGTTGCTGCTGTTGTTGTTGTTGGATTCTGTCTATTTGTTTGTGTATTTGTTTTTTGTTTTTTTGTTTGTTTTTCTTCTTTTTCAGGCCTGGTGTACGCAGTGGTATGAAGGGACGAAAC